AGATTTTTTTTAGAAACTTTTTTTGATAAAAATAATTAAATTTAAAAAAGATAAAAATCCTGATTAAATAATATATCTTAAAATACCTTGGTTTTAAATATTTTTAAGTATACATTGTCAAAAAATTGACAATAGTGTTAATGCCAAATATGCAAGTTTTTAACATAAATTGAATATTTTTCAATTGCATACATTAATTCTTCAAACACAAAAAAATCACATTCGACATCAGGTTTTATCTGAATCTATATTTTATAAGAGGTAATTTTGATATATAATCTATAAAAAAGTTTATTTTATATGGCGAGTAGGGCTGGAAATGAGTCGAGTCGAGTCGAACTCACCTCAGCTCGGCTCGACTCGTTAAGAATTGTTCGAATTCGAGTTCGAGTTTGAGTTCGACACGAACTTTTTTTTAAGCTCAAACTCGACTCGTTATAAGTTCACGAACAGTTCGATTCGACTCGTTAGGTTCATCTCATTAGGTTCAGCTCACATGGTTCACGAACTTAAAAACTATTTTTTTAAATATATATATTTTTTAGTATATTTGACATTTTAAATAAATATATATTTTTTAAATAAAATATTAAAATAAAATAAAAGTTATCATATTGATATTTAACTTTATCTTCGAAATCTACTAATTCAAAACCTAGACAACTTTCAAGAGATACATTTGAGAGTCTAACTCAAAAACTACTAAATTGAAGATTAAATTTGTCTAAGATTTGAAGTAAATATTTAAACCTAATCTTAAAGACAGTATAATTCTTTTCATATGTAATCGAGTTGACTCATGAACCTAACGAGTCGAACTATGTATAGTTCAAGTTCAGCTCATTTAGTTAACGAACTTAATTTTTCGCTCATACTCAACTCATTTGGTTCATGAACCTAGTTCAACGATTTAATTGTCGAGTCGAATTCCGAACTATCTTCGAGTTGGTTTGGTTCATTGCCAGCCCTAATGGCGAGTCTTAAAATATGATATTTTTACTGGAGTAAAAAAATGATATTTTAAATATAAAATTATTTTAATTTATTAGACACGACCCTCTTAGGGTGATATGGTAAAAGACATACATAAATTTAGTTGTTATACGCGTCTCGCGGATGTTCTAGAATGAACTTACTTGAAATGCAGATGATCATGATTGGACGATATTTTCAAGAAGAAGCCAATGAATAACCGCCACGTGTGTGGTAAGGGTTATAGAAACGAGGCATCACCGTCTTCACAGGTTATTTGCCAGGTTGTTGTGTCTTGTTTATTGTGTGGTAGAGTGGAGGGGCCTTTGTGAGAAGATAGCTCTGTTTTTTTGGTAAGCGAGTAGATTTATCACATCATCTTCAAATAATTTGACAAAAAAGTTAACAATAAGATAATTTTAGAAAAATGTTATTCCTCCGTCCCATAATTAATCATTCAATTGATCATTTTTCATAGATTAAAGAAAAAAAATAAATGAATGATATTTTTATTAAAATATCTCTTATTAAATATTATTATTATTTTAAATTTTATATATATATATATATATATATATATATATATATATATATATATATATATATATATATATATATATATATATATATATATATATATATATATATATATATATATATATATATATATATATATATATATAAGATATCAACAACTTAATTATTTTAATATATAAATATTATTTATTTATTTATTATTTATCTTTATTTTGTAAAGATATAATCATATTAATGTATATTGAAAATTTTATATTTCAACATTTTATACAAAACTATTATTAAATTATTTTTTAGATGTGTTTAACTTAATGGACTAATATTAAATTAGTAAGAGATATATTTTTAATTTCTTTTTAAAATAAATAGTAGATAGTAAATAGTATGAATTATTTTATTTTATTAGTTTCTGATTCATTAAGTCTATTAAATTTAAATTTATTTTTATTGTAAATTATAGTTATGAAAATATTATAATTCTTTTTTTTAAATGATATAAGAGTTTCATTTAAAATCAATCGGTAAGACGGAGGTGTTACTCTTCGTAAAATCTTTTGAAATTTTATCTCTAACCAATATGAGAGATTTGATATATTTTCAATACATCCTAATACTATTGTGTTTGATGGATGAATATAAACACTTAATAACGTCAATTTAAGGAGTAGGTGATTCTTTTTCTTTTTTTGTCTTTTTTGAAAATGCAAAGTTAAGGTTTAAAAGAAGATAGTTAATATCCAATTTTTTTTTAAGGATGGAGTAAATAGTGAATTTACGATTTTTCGAGTTAAGTGGTCTGATGTATGCAAATTTAAGTGAAGATGTGAGCTGAGTGGTTGGAGTATCCGTTTAGTAATTTGGATTTTTTAGGCAAATGGTATCAAAGTCTCATTTAAAATCGACTTGTAAAGTGATGAGTGTCACTCGACATCAAATATTTTAAAACTTTATCTTTAACCCGTGCTATTAGATTTTTTTAATACACCATAACACTAATGTGCTTGGTGGATGGATATAAATTGTGGGTGATATCAATATAGACGCGGGTGATCTTACTTATTTTTTTCTTATCTTTTCTAAAAAATACATGTTAAGATTTAAAATAAGATAATTAATTTCCAAAAAATGTTCCCTTAGCATGGAGTGAAGTGTCAATCTACGATTTCTCAAGTTAAGCAATATATTACAAATTTAAATGGAGAAGTGAGTTGAGTGTCTGAGACCTCAAACATTCATACAATCTCTCAAAAACTTTAAAATGAGTCTTATTCAATGTTTTAAACCCGAACTATTGATCAATCCTATCAAGATACTGAGTCATTTAGTCATTGTTCAGATTGATTGGTCATTTGTTAGATTGCATGACTATTGATCTAATATATTAAAAAATATTTTATTTGACACAAATTTATGATTATAAAACTTTAAATAAACCTTCTACAAAATCTAAGCAAAATTTCAATACACAAACCATAATCAAATTTAAAATTTTAAAATTTTTTTAAAATTTAATAATTAAATTCATATAAAGTAAACATGGATTCTTTTTTGATTTTACCAAAATCAGAAAGATGGTCAACAGCCAGCAACACGTCGCGAGTTTCAAGTTCGCCGGTGGTGGAGAAGAGAATGAGGTGTACCTGCAAGACACTCTAATGCCATAGTGAAAAAGAGAGTGAGAGAGATAAAGCAAGTACTGAAAGTGAGTATGAATTAGAATACCTGACCCTCCTGTGGAGGAGGGTATTTATAATATGCCCCCAACGCTGGGCCAACAATCATCTACTTTGGGCTGGATCGCAAAGCCCACAACAGATGACTGTCACGATCCTACGTGGAAGTAGGGAAGAGTCGCACGTGGTATTCGTCTTGGGTCAACTGTCCCACGAACTTCGAAGAGTGGAAGACATGTTCTCTCGGACGTGGGTAGTTAGTTGATGACGTGTTCCCGCGTGGGGAGCACGTGGAGAACGTGACGAGGACGTGTGAGGAACGTTTTCTCCCACGGTGATGGCGGATTGAACCTTTGTGTTGGGCCCTCCCCGACGTGGAGTTAGGTTGGGCCGTGCCCGACGGTGGGTCAACCTCAGACCTAATCCAAAACATTTTCTAATAGACACTAACACAAAATTATAACCACATAATCATCGTTTTATATCCATAATCATCTTATGTACACGTTTTAACATTAAACAAACAATAACATAATGAGTCACAAATTTTTAGCAAAATCATCCAAATCAAATGATAAATATTAAATACAAAGTAAAAATATAACATTAAAAATTGAATGATGAAAACATTGATGCAAATTAAAATAGAAAATCCAACAATAATAAAAATAACAATAACTAATCATATAATAAGAAATTACATTGATTTTGTGGATTAATGATGAGAGATATATTTTTAAGAATTTAAAAGTTTCATATTTTATGTTGAGACACTAGAGAATAGATGTTTGAATAGTAGACGTTTTTCCGTCCTTACAAAATGTATTAGTTAAAATAATACAACCTGCCGGTTCAAACAAACTCACTAGTTTATTAATTTGACCGTTAAACCAATTGGGTCACACCAATTTTTATTGGATCTATTTCATATTCAGTCTTTTAGCCTTTTTAATCCACTCTATCTTTCGGTTTACAGTCCCAACTAGCCAAGTCATTCTAGGTTTTAAAAGTTTGGTCTTCCAAATCTTATAATAAACATTAAAATTATATTATTTATAAATTTAATATTTTTTATTTAAAAACCATACTTTAATGGTGTGGTAATAGAAGAAACTAATGCTAAACATTATCGTGTTCAAGGATGGTAAAGCAGGTTTACTCCGTTGGACATGTTTGTTTTACCCGCATTTTAGTGTGCGACAGACTAAAAATTTAGACCTTCATTCTTTAATGTGTCAGTCTCATTTTTCATAGACATTTGCAGACACAAACATTTATATTAATTTTTGTGTGTGTAAGGTTAAAAGCTGTAATGTCTGCAGGCTTCTTTCGTCTCGCTCTTACTTTTTTTAAGGACGAATCTATGTTTTAAATCCATATCTTCAACTATATCCGTCACGTTTTATCTTATTTTTAGTGGACTTTTGTTAGACGTGCTAATCAAGACAGGTATGTCCGTTGCCCCCCTAAACGTGCAATCACAAGCCAAATACTCATTCTCATCAAATAACATGGTATTTGTAATAAAGAAGACATGGTAAATTTCATCAGTGTATGCTCTTGGTGATATTTATACTGTCGTAGTTTATTTTATGTCTCCTAAAAAGTGTTTTTTTTTATAATTAAATACAACACTTTTTTACTTATATTCTTATTTATTAGTTTTCATTATTCAACAGCTCTCCTAAATTTAATAAAACTGTTAAAATAAATATTATTTTAATTAGATTAAACATACAATTTAAAAATAATTTGACATAGGAATACATATGAAGCTAGCTTTTAAAAACATGTTAAAATCAAATTTATGAACCAGTGTTACTTGAAGCAATCCATGCTCTCAGAGATAGGAAAGCTCAGTGTGGTGTTACACATAAAAGGCAGATGTTGTATTCTAGAAGGGTCCAATGCTGGTGATGTCCCCTTCACCATGACTTGAATGCACCGACAAATGAACCTCGGACCAATACTATGTTTGGCTAATATGTTTAGTTTCTCTACATGTTGGCAGCATCTTCGCAAGGGTTTATCATAACCATAAATTGCATTTGAATCCCTCACCAAAAATCCTAAGCAATTTGTAAAGTATTCAAATACACGTTCACAAGCAGAGAAAGTAACCACAGGGTACACTTCTTTTGCATCTGCATTATTGACCGACACAAAAATTAGAGACAGTGCTAGTAGTACTATGATGGAAACGATAAGAACATAATTAGCCATGTAATATTATTAGTGTAAGACGAGGTTAATGCTTAGATTAGATGTGAGTTTATGTTAATTTATAACAAGACCAGTTAATATTGAATTGCTAGTTTGTTATTATGTATACATAATTTGCTGCAATTTATGTTCCTTATATTCGTCAAAACCGTGGAATTTTACACTTTCCCTTAACGAAAGCAAAGCTCTGCTTACGTAGTTTATACTGCAACGCAACCTAAGAAATAATAATATAATGTAAAAGACAATTATTTGGACCATATGTTTTGCTTGCGGCCAATTGTGGGAAATGAATCTATCACGCATTGACAAATTTGAATTCGAATTTTAGTTAGGAGGTTAAACAGAGTTTTATACTGGATATAGTGATAAACAACAAATTAGTTGTAGGTAAAGACTTAGAATTCTAATCCATTTCAGTAGAAAAAGTGCGGAGATACACCCTTTAGTCAATTTTGAATGTCAATTTGAAATTCATTTTCATGTCACACTTTCGTAAATTCTATTCATTATTAATTTAGATAAGAAAGATATTTGTTTCCCATATTTTATAATATACTTTCTTCACTTTATTTTGGGCCTGATTGTATTATCTTTAAAAAAAAACTTTTAAAATAGGTTTTGAACGGGTAAAAAAATATGTGAATATAAGAGCGGAGGTATTCAGAGGTCTTAGTAAGTCTATAATAAACAGTGGTGGTTAGGGTTTGTCAATGGTGGCGAGAAACCTTGTACAATGGTGTTTTTGGTGGTTTAAAGGACATGCTCGCGTGAGATGAGAGACTATGTATGTGTGTTGATTACTTGTGTGTATAAGTGTATTAGTTATGATCTCTCACTCTTTCGTTGGGGGAGAGATATTTATAGAGGTTTTAAGTCTAGGGTTTCCTTGGGAAAAGGTCACCCCACCTAGGCAATGATAGACCATTGAATCCTTATTTTCAAGGGGGACATGAGTCAGATATTGACCCTGACTTCTCTCTGCCCAAAAAATGTATTATCTGACGTTTCCCATGACTAGGCGATTGGGCAGAGGCAGTACCTCCCTGGTGGCGATATATGTCCGTCACCTCTCATGGGGGCAACTTATAGTCATCGCCCTAACCAGGTCCTTTACAAGTATAACATTATACAATCTCTCAATTACGAGGCCTTTGACAAAGGACGAAGTGTTTTGATCGCGACTTTCCGAGTCTAATCGAATTAACTGCAAGTGTACAGTCTATTGCGTAGTAATAAAGATATCGAACCCACAAGGACTCGTAATCAATCTAGTATATTCGGGCGTTACTGTGTTTAGCTAGGTTGTTAATGACTTAAGGAGAAATATTCAAAAGTAAAGGCTAAGCTAAAGAAAGGCTAAAAGGTTTCTTAGAATAATAATGCGGGTAATCGGTATGCAATGACATAGTGCTCCGATGATTCGACAAGTTACCGACACGGTTTAATAATTTTCAAAATGGTTTTCAGAAGAAAATAACAGTTTAAAGACTATTGTCTCACGATGGTTGTTGACGCTAGTCGCAACTCTAAGGCGGAACGTATGCTTTCGCTATCCCGTTCGGGGTTTAAATTGATTTTTGAAAACCATTGAGATCTAATCTCTTTTAAAATGCTTTCGTTATGTTTAAAATAGATGCTCAGTTTTTACTATCTGGTCTTAGCCTCAGCTTTCGCATGTCGGTTCATACCTTAGTGAATCTCCCACTGTCGTGGCGAGATTGCTTTAAATAAGTTCTCGTTGTCGCGACGAAGTTTAATTTAACAGTTTTGGTTTAAAAACTAGAGCCAGAACCAAGTTTGAAAAAGAAAGATTACGCCGGTTATTATCGAACCTCGCTCTACTAGCTCATTACATACTGATCGATGCGGTTTTAGCTAGTCATAAAGTTTAAAGCATGCATAATTAAATTTAAAGAGCAGAACGCATAAACATACATAATAAAGCAAATATAATTAATTTATAATAACGGAACCTGTAAATAATTCTGGTTCGCACTTGGATAATCCTCCACAATATCAGCAGGATTACTCTTGTGACGAATAATTGTACGAAAAAGTAAAGAACAGAAATTACAACTGAATTCTGGAAAGGAAACAAAAGAAAGGAAGCAAAGTAGGAAAGAAACAAAACAAGAAAATATCTCTGGTATTAAATCCGGCAGCACTTCGTGGTCTTCAATGCGGCTCCCCTATTTCAGTTCCCAAGCTCTCCCTTTATAGTGAATGAATTGTACGTGAACTGCTTTTGGAAGTGCATTTGAGGGTCAGAAAATCCAGGAAGTCGTGCATTTGTTTTGGGCTTCTGTTTGCACGTTTTAGAAAGTGGACGTTATGCAGAAATTGTGGGTGTGACGGTCGTCAGGGAGCCATGACGCTCGTGAATGCCATGACGGTCGTGAGGGAGTCATGACTATTGTCACGCTTGTGACGGTCGTAAGGGGCCTGTGACGACCGTCATATCAGCAAAGTTTATTTCTGCTACTTTTCTCGTTCTTTTTCTTCTGTTATATGTTTTTTAGTGCTTGTTTTCCTCATCTTGCTTCATTTGAGTAATGACTTCATAAACCTGCAAAACACTTAACAAACGATGCGAATGTGGTACGAAATCGACCGTTAGTAGCATGAAAATATGGCATTTTAATATATATGTTTTCGCGTTATCAAACACCCCTAAACTTGAATCTTTGCTTGTCCTCAAGCAAAAAGCCTAAGAGCTGAAACGATGCAGTCACACGATGCGTTCTTTTGTGTTTTTAATGTCGCTTCAGAGGTGCTGAGTCGAGAATTCGGAGATGATTCATAACAACACGTACACGAACTTGACACTAAGCAGAAATTCTCTCAAAGGCCTCCTCCTTATACGAGCCGGTTCCAATCATGCTGCTGTAGCTCGGCGTTTGGTTCATCGTACTAAGTTCTACCCAGTTTCGTTCCAGCGCAATCACATTAAGCCCTTTACCTCTTTTCGCACTCGTTGTGGAATAGCCTGTTGGTGACTTCGGTCTTTCTTTATACGGGGTCTGGTGCACGAGTGCAGTACCCTATGACATGCTCACTTTGTAAGTTGTGGGGGATCGAACCGTGATTCGCCCTACCGAGTCCATAACCAGAGACCTACAGACCAACTGACAAGGAACTTCTTTTCTTTTATTAGCTCATTTTTTCTTTTCTTTTTGCCATTCCGAGACGTCAGAGGTAGATAAACACTATATGGCTACAGAGCAATTCTTTTCTTTATGATCTTACCGATCACTTATTTGCATCGGATTTCCACATGGTACGCGCTTAAGGCGGTGCTGACTGCTTTTATAAACTACTAAGGGCTTCAGTTGATGCTTGAACCTGAGGCTTCGGTACAATAGGTAGTGGAACTAACTCGCATAAACCGGAGGTTTAAGGTGTCAAATTGGTATGGATATCGTTAGTGATCGTTCTCGAGTTTTCTTAACTTGGCCTTAATGTAGGCGCACCAGATGTTTGCATCAAAAAAGTTTTCGTATAGCTCGAGTAAAGCAGATTAAGCTGGGGAAGTTCTTTTAACGAAAAAGAATATAAAAATATGCGCTTTATTGAATTGAAATAGGACTGCATTTGAAATTACTGAATTGAGATTACAATGAAAGGGAAATGGAGTACATAATAAAGTGTCGCTCCCACACCATCTCAAGCAGTGTCCTCACTGCTTTGAAATGATAGTGGAAGGTGGACAACAATGAAAGCAAGAAAAATGCAGAAAAAGTAAAAACAAGAAGAACACTACTCTCTGTCACGTCCTCTTCCTCGATGTCGTCCTCCTCTGGTCGTGGGGCGTAGAACGCCGGTGTGAAAAATGGAGTTGTGTAAGTCGTCCACACGGACGTTTAAAGCGGCCATTTCATCTACGACATTGCTGAGGCGTTCCCCGTGGGCGGCTAGCAAATCTATCACCTGCTAATGTTGTTCTTGCTGACGTTGTTCAAGTAGGACGGCGGTCTCGTTCTGTTGCCAGATGGCGTGAAGGACATCTTCGATGGTAGACTCAGTTTGGGGACGGGGGCGACGACAGGAAGAAGGACCTGCGGGAGGTGGTTGCTGAGGAGCTTCAGCCTGAGCAGCGCGGTCCAGTTCATCCTGTATCTCATCAACGGGCATCTGATCATTCTGTTGAGGTTCGGCAGCATTAGCTTCGGGTGCCGCTGGGTCAAAAATCCAGTTGGCTCTGTCTGAGGATGAGCACGGTCACGACAAGGAAGGATGATGTTGTGGATGGTGCGGTTGCGAACCACCAGATGATAACGTTCGTGGGCTCGTACCTTGATGAGGTGAGAGGAACGACAGTAGTCGATATCCAGGAAGACAGGAGATAAGGACGGGAGGGCCTGGAGGCGATCGCCGAGGTCGAGTGATAAGGCAATGGAAGTGACGATACCTCCGAAGTAAAAAGGCTTGGAGCCTCGACCAAGGTTTGCCTGGATGTGAGCAACAGAAATGGGGCGGCGTTGATGGGTTCCGGCGCAAAGACGCATTTTAGAGAGAACAATTCCTTAGAGTTTACCTTATGGTTACTATCTCTGGAAAAGATAGTGTTACTGAGCACCCTGTGAAAGTAGCGGATAGCGGGATGGTGAATGAATGTAGCATTAAGGTTGTCCCAGCTATCGGCGGTGGTGCCGGTGAGTTGGTTCCAAAGTGCAAATGCTTCTAGAAAGAATTTTTCCGAAGGAACACGGCAGTGAGCGTCAGCACCATGGTTGAATTGGAGCATCTGAGCCAGCTGATTCTGGTTTAGTTGATATTCCCGGCCGAATAATCTGAAGCATGCAACATCGGTGAGTTGATTGGTTTTGCCGGGGGGTGTCATGTATGTGAACGAACTTAGGAACTCCAGAGTTAACTGTTCGTAGGTAGGCTGCGGTGCTGTGCAGAGGAACCACAACCCGGCATTCTGTAGCATCTATTGGACGCCTTTGCGAATGCCCAATTCTGTTATGCAGGCGACATCGACATATCGAGTTGGT